TATATCTATTAGATCTTGAACTGTATATCTATAAGATCCTTTTAAAAACCTCAGAAACTAAGAAGAATGATAAGGCTTTAAAACTACTTTCTTGTAATTAAATTTGTAACTAACTCATATTTGACATATAATAAACAAGAGAATAAAAAGAGGAAAGACTGGTTCGACATAGAGTGACAAAAAATAGAACTAAGAAAATTTTTAGGGGTGGAAATGATGTCGAAAGAAACAACAGAGACAAAGAATAGATATGTGGAGCAAAGACAAAAAGTAAAGAGGATGCTGAGAGAAAAGAAAAAAAACAAATAGAAGATAAGCTAAAGGAAATAGAAGAGAATTACAGAAATAAAGAAATAAAAAAAAGTACAAAATAATACAAGCGGTGAAGCAGAAATAGTTGAAATATGGAAAGAGTATTTTGATGAATTACTAAATGGCAATAATAAGTCAAACCAAAAAGAATGTACGGAAGCAGAAGCAAAAATCGAACACTTACTTAGAAGACATAAAAGATAACCCAGCAAAGAAAAAAGGAGGAAAAATGCGAGGAAATCATAAAATAACTGAAACACAACAAATACCCTGGAAGCGATAACATAACAGCAGAGATGATGAAATATGCTAAATGATTTGATATACAAGATCATAACGGATATATGAATAAAAGAACGAATACCAGAAGATTGGAAGGAAGCAATTATTTGCCTATTACACAAAAAAGGAGACAAAAAAGAATGCAGTAATAACAGAGGAGTAGCGTTACTAAATATTGTATATAAAATTCTATCAAAATCCATAGAAGATAAGCTAGAAAAAGAAATTGAAAATATAATAGACGAATATCAGTGCGGATTCAGGCTAGGCTAGTAGCACAACGAACCAAGTATTCGTAATAAGAGAATTACAAACAAAAAGCTATGAACACAACTTACCTACGATAGCGCTATTCATGACTTCCAGCAAGCATACGATAGAATAAAGAGGAAGGAATAAAAAGAGACTCTTGAGGAAATGGGAGTTAGCAGACAGTTGCGTAACATGATACATCTTACTTTTAATACAGAAAACTTAGTCAAAGTAAACAATCATTCATTGGACACATTTATAGTAAATAAAAGATTAAGACAGGGCGATCCTGTGTCATCATTACTCTTCAATTTATGCCTAGAAAAAATAATGCGCGAGAAGCAACAATCAATAGATAAGGACTCCTACATCATAAAAATAAAGAGTTTTGGCATTTGCGGATGATGTAGTTTTGCTGACAAGAGGAAAAAAAGAGCTGCATGAGATAGTAAAAGCAGTGAAGAAAATGGGATTATACATAAATGAAACTAAAACAAAATGTATGCAGTAGACAGATGATCAGTTCAGAGATGGACAAAAGTTTAAAGTAGAAGTAGAAGAAGGATCATCATACGAATTCGGAATGAAAGAAAGTTTACATAGCTAGGTGCACTAATATCATATAAACCTAACATTAAAGAAGAAATACAAGCTAGAATAATGGCAGGCAATAGAAGTGTACATGCTCTTAGTGGAATTTTGAAAAGCAGGTTTTTATCAAGATAGGCAAAAATACAGTTATAAAAAACAACTATACAACCAATAGCAATATATTGCAGTGAGACATAGACAATGACAAAAAGTGAACAAAGTGACAAAGTGAACTGGAGATATGAGAAGTGAAAATAAGAAGATCAGATGATGAGTTAAAGGAATTATATAACCAACCTAATACAATAGGAGTCACAAAAGCACAGACACTAAGATGCCGAGGTCACCTAAAAAGGATGCCGAATACGAGAACTCCAAAAAGGGTACTAAACTACATTATACCTTCAAAAAAGGGAAAAGGAAGGCCAAAAATAGATGCAATCAAAAGGTAGAAAAAAATTAGACTAAAAGGCCAGAAAAGAAATTTAAGTAACAAGAAGAAATGGAGAAAAATCACATACCGAGCCAAAGAAGATCTCAGTACAAAATGAAAAGCAAAAATGGAGAAAGAACTACATGTTTGACGTATTGATTTCCACTTCACTATGTTTTCTAATAGTTATTAAGGGTCTCGTTTAATCGGCAAGACAAATCCCCACACTGAATGAAAAGTTTTGAAAAAAAAGTTTTCTAAGCAAATAATTATTAAAGTAATTATAGTTTATTTTTATGAACGAGACAGTAATTAGCATAATTTTAAATGGTACCTCCGACCACTCAATGGGCGTGCTCAAGATTAATTGAAAAATTACTTTGAATAATTGTAAAAAATAAATGAATTATTTCAGTGTTATAAAGTGTTATGTGTATGTAAACAAAAGTGACCTCTTTTATCACACACTATATTAGAGCTGACTGACCTACATTAAAAAGAATGGAAAAAGAATCCCAGAAAGTCTATTTTATTAGAAAGAAGCAATATTGTCATATGGAGAAGACATTTTCTAAGAACCATAAAGGAAATGAGAAACAAAAAAGAAAAATATTTTATCTTGATGAAACATGGATCAACGAGGGTCATACACCAAATAAATTTTGGCAGGATGAAACTGTTACAAGTCAAAGGCACGCTTTTGTAAATAACTTATCTACTGGTTTAAACCCATCATCAGGAAAGGGATGCAGGCTGATAATAGTACACATTGGCAGTTCAGACGGTTTTGTTGAAGGTGGTTTATTAACTTTTAAAACAACTCGTACCGGTGACTACCATAAAGACATGAACGATGATGTCTTTCAAGAATGGTTCGAACAAATGATAGATCTTCTTCCTAAGAACTGTGTAATAGTAGTGGATAATGCAAGTTATCACTCCAGATTTATAGAAGGACTGCCCACAACCAAGTGGTTAAAAAAAGACTTGCAGAATTGGCTGAGTTCAAAAAATATTACGTACCATCCCGGATCTATAAGAAAGGAACGTTATTCGTTGTGTGCCCTTCATAAAGAAAAATTTAAAAAATACGAAATTGATGAAATTGCCAAAAATCCTGGAAAGACAGTACTTAGATCCCCACCATATCATTGTGAATTAAACCCGATTGAACTGGTATGGGCACAGATAAAGAGTGAAGTTTCAAGAAAAAATACCACTTTTAAAATTCATGATGTTAATTAGTTGTTTTTGGAGGCCGTAAATAATGTAAAACCTGAAAACTGGGAAAAGGCAGTAAATCACACTATTAAAGAATAGGAAAAAATGTGGAAGCTGGACAATATTACTGATAAAATGATCGAGCCAGTTATTCTAAATCTTGGTTCTGAAAGTTCATCTTCTGAATCTGATTTGGATTTGTAACAAGTAGCTGTAAGTTTTATATTAATATTTTTATTCATCTATTTAACATACCTTAGACGGTTTTAAAAAACTCTTTTTCTCTTTTGTAATTTTTAAAAATTAAAAAAAATGTGAATTTTTTAAAACCCCTTTTAATGTAGGTCAGTTAGTTCTAACATAGTGTGTGATAAAAGAGGTCACTTTTGTTTACATACACATAACACTTTATGTGTATGTAAACAAAAATAAACACTGAAATAATTCATTTATTTTTTACAATTATTCAAAGTAATTTTTCAATTAATCTTGAGCACGCCCATGGAGTGGTCGGAGATACCAGATAAAATTATGCTAATTACTCTCTCGTTCATAAAAATAAACTATAATAAAATAGACTTTCTGGGATTCTTTTTCCAGCGGAAGCCTATTTCTTTTAAAAGTTTCCATAACGTACTTCGACTCATTTCTGGGTAATCCTTATCATCTCGAACTGAGACAAGAACTTTATCCAATGTTGGAAATTCTTGTCTAAAAAAGAATTCATGCACTTTCCGTCAAAGTCCTTCTTTAAAATGATATTCTATTTGAAATTTTGGTTTCCCTGGAGCATTACGTGGCATTTGAAGACTACCACATTTCTCTTCTTTAATAACACTGTAAATCGTAGATTTCCCAACACCAAGTGTACTGCTAACTAACTCAACGGTCTCATCAACACTTTCACATAAACGTTTGTCTGTAAATGATTTAAAACAATTAAATATTAATGTTTTTTCATTAACTGTTAAAGGACCAATTTTTCGGCGTTTACACGGCACTTGCAAATTTTTAATAACACTAGTATACACAATAAACTGCACCTTGCAACTGAAGTACCTACTTTTAGTGAACTGTTAAAAATTTTGAATACGCCACTTGGACTTTCCTACAAAATAGAAAAACCCACTATCACATTTTCTGTGGAATAAGTTTAGAAGGTAATTATCTAGTCAATTACTGTCGTAGATTCCTGGAATTGAACAATTAAATGTTTGATTGTTGAAACCCTTACTTCGTGAAATGCACTCATTTCAGATAAAATAAAACGTTTTATTTTATATAAAGAATTAAACTTTATTTTGCAAATAGGTAGGTACTTATTAAACTTTTATTGGTTATATATAACCAATAAAATAAATATCTTACATTTCTTGCAAATTCATTAGTACCTGTTAACCTCCATCACTCCGACACTGGCAACCTTATTTAGGGATTAGTAACCCTCACAACTATTGTATTCTATTCTGCTCCAACCTTTATACCTGGTGGTCATACTCAATTTAAAATTGTTTTCCTATATACTTCTGTAAACTTGTTGACAAATATCTGTTTTTCATTGAGTCACCCGTATCAACAGTTTAGGGATTTGCATACATAATTTATTGTTTTATGTTTCTCTCATACATAAAAATACACTATAGTCAGTATGATATTTGGAATTAAGTGAGTTTTTAATTAAAAAAAAAATTGTGCTTCAAATAATCTCTGAACCTACAGGAAAACTTAAACAATAGCTTATTTTTGACAATTGCTATCTGTTTTAATGAAATGGGTACTAGTTTATGCGATTTTTGAAAAGGCTCATTTATAAAATTTTATCTCTATATACACCCTACTGATTTTTATACAGAAATTCAATAATTAACTCTTACACACACATAAAAGTAATATTTTATACTCATTGCAGATCGTTGCTTCTAAAATGGGATTAGACACTAGAAGCCCAGTTACATTATGGAAAGATAAAGCCTTAGTAGAGTGCAATCTAGCCGTTCTTCATAGTTTTCAGCTAAACGGGATAACTATTGTCGACCATCACACGGCGTCCGAGTCTTTCATGAAACATCTCGAAAACGAAAACCGTCTGAGAAATGGATGTCCCGCCGATTGGGTCTGGATAGTGCCGCCACTATCTGGATCAATTACTCCAGTATTTCACCAAGAAATGGCTCTGTATTATTTGAAACCATCATATGAATATCAGGTAAGATCATTTTTAGTATTTTTTAAGCCTTTTTTAAGTTAATTAACTCTAAATAAAAGAATATTATTTTATTTTTTATAAATTGTGCAAAAAAGTATGGAGTGTCCTTAAAAATTTGATAGTTTTCAAGATTTATTTAGTTTCTTAAACTTTTTTGGTCTTTCACTAAATTACCTTTTGCGACAAATTTACGTATTTATTCATTATTTTATTGCTTTGGCATTTTTTTTAGTTATGTTTTCTTGCAGTCGTAGGGGTGAGGGGGGCACATGTGGACAAATCTCAAAAAAAAAAGTATACCGCAAAATGAGATTCATTGTAAAGTATCGGCTTCTTCAATGTATGTAAGATTCATATATTTGTGAGTTTTTGTGAACATTTAAATTTGGCAGTAATATAATTTTTTAGCAAGCAGATGTAATTAGTCCACATGTACCCTAAGAGAGGCACATGTGAACAACACAATATTTTCTACGAGACACATAAGGACACGGGTTTTGATGCAGAGAAAATAAAAACATTTTTTTTATAGGTGCCATTTTTAATATTTATTTTACATAATACATTTAATTGTAAAATTAACGAAAAACCTAAAAAGGGAATTAATTACTATTTATAACTGGGAATAAGCCATTAAAACCTTATACAAATAAAAATGACACATTCATAAAAAATACACAACATTTTTTAAATAAATTATCAAATATTGAATTTAATTCAAATAATACTTTGGTAAGTTTTGACATAAATAGTTTATTTACGAATGTGCCATTAAATAAGACTTTAAGTATAGTCAAGACAAAATTAGAGAGTGATGATTCATTGGCAACTAGAACAAGACTAAACATATCGGCTATAATGGAGTTATTAACATTATGTACTGATAATACATATTTTCAACTAAATAATGAATTCTATAAACAAAATTTTGGTCTAGCAATGAGCTCTAGTTTATCTCCATTCTTAGCCGATATATTTATGGAAGATTTTGAAACAAATATCATTTCTAAACAAAATTTCAAACCCACAGTATGGTGGAGGTATGTAGATAATGTATTCTCAATATGGCCTCATGGATCAGAGTTGTTGGACACATTCCTAAACGATATAAACGATAAAGAAGAGACAATAACAATTACCATGGAAAAGGAGTATAATAACACGCTACCTTTCCTGGATGTTTTGATCTCTAAGAACGATACTGGATATGAGACTCAGGTGTATAGAAAACCAACACACACCAATAGATATTTAAATTTCAAATCAAATCACAATATTAATGTAAAAAAGGGAATAATTAAATCCTTATACGATAGAGCCAAATTTACTTGTTCTAACGAAAATTCGTTCTTGGAGGAGAAACATTTGTTAACATCTGTTTTATTAAAAAATGATTATCCTTTATCGTTTATAAATAAGGAATTTTTAACAATCGATCGAATAGAACAGAACAACTTAGAACGAAATCCTACAGCATACACAAGGAATAATATGAGGAAAATAACAATACCGTACATAAAAGGATTATCAGAAAAACTTAAAAGGATAGGAAATAAATTCAACATTTCAACAACATTCAAAACAACAAACACGTTGAGATCTATTTTGTCCAAAACCAAACCTAACAATGAACAAGAAAGGACAAAGAATTGCATTTATAAAATACCTTGTGAATGCGATCAGTTTTATTTAGGTGAATCATCAAGGCCATTAAATGTTAGAATAAGTGAACATCAATCTTATATTAAAAATAGAGAATTTGATAGATCTCAAATATGTAAACACGCATGGGATAATGAACATAGAGTTCAATGGAATAATTCAAATATAGTCCTAAAAGAAACGGATGGTAAAAAAAGAAAAATCAAAGAAGCGGCTCTAATTATGCTAAATGAGGCCAATTGTGTCGCAAATTCCTCGGCAGAATGTAGTAGGATCTGGTTACCAATATTGAAAGAGGAAGTTATTAATAAGAAAATACCAGTATTAGTAAGTCAGTAACATATAGAGAATACATCATTTATGTTTTTTAAATAACGTAACATCTAAAATCAGAATTTTGATGTTTGTTGAAGGTAAACTAAATTCACGAACAAATACTTACAATGTCGGGATAGTATTATGAGGTTTTTTTCCTGGTTTTTCCCTCATAATTTACTATGGAATCACTAACAGGAGAATTTTACTGTCATCATTTCATGTGTTTGTCTTTTTAAAGACGAATTACATACTATGATTTTTTCTGACGGATATTCTCAAGTTAAAGTTGATTTCATGTAATTGAATGAACTATCTTATAAGTAAAGTCGTCCCAGGAGCGCAACTCAACAATATTGGCAATATCATTTTAAAGTCGTCTACTTTAAAATGCATAATGTATGTCTGAATTGTCAATATAAATGAGTCAGATAAAATTAAATTATTAGAAGAACTTTTTTCACTATGTAACAAAAAAACAAAATTTGTTTAATTTACTATTTGCATTTTGAGAACGATTTCCGAATTGGAAATTGAAACGTCAATAAACGTATTTTTATCTTTAATTGTGGCTTATTCCCAGTTATAAATAGTAATTAATTTACAATGCCACAAGAAAATAGCTTCAGAACAATATTAAGAAACCTAAAAAGGGGCTGCAATTTTTTTTCAGGTACTGACAATTTTCTAATAATATCGTTTGCAGAAATATAACTCTCATCATTCTAATCTGGAAATACAAAATCTTGTCGCATCGTCATTTTTAAAAAAGTTACTAAAAAATCTTACTCTTCTAGTTCCTTTTCGGTCTGACCAACAAAGAATTTTTGTAGCAAATTTAATAAGAACAAAATTCCCTTTCTAGATATTCGTAAGACTCAATTCAAAATCTTTACCATCTTCAGTCTCAACTTTTATAAGACTATCCTCTGATTCTTTGCAATAATTCGCAATTTCGCTTTCTGATGTCTCCTTATCAAAAACTTTGCAAGTATGGGATTTGGATTTTTTGTTTTCGATATTGCTTGCCTTTCTTTCCTAAACCCGTTTCTCTTTTTCCTCCTTTTCTCTTATTTCATTTTCTAATCTATTTTTTCTGGTGTAGCGGTCAGAATAGTTGAATTTTTTTTCTTTTCTGTCTTAGAACTTATTCTCACGGCCTTTGGGTATGAACGAATTTGTTTGGGAATAAGTTTTTCATCGTAAATAATTACAATTTTGGAACTTTGTTTTTCGGCAGTTAAAACAGGTTGACAATTATTGTTGATTTGTGGTTGAACATTCGCCGATGATGATGCGGAAGGCATTTTGGAATTAGATAGTGGACTGCAATTTAGACAATCACCAGTTGTGGTATCTCGCTGCGATATATCACTGAATTTCGTAACTTCAGTTCCTACGAAATCTTCTAAGGAAAAAATGTTAGATGTGCAAAGTCATAAATCGTTATAGCTTTTCCCAAATGTGTAGACATCCATAAGTTGAATGCTCCACGACAACGATCCTTAAAAGGACCAAATACACACACATCTAGAGGCTGCAAACGATGTGTTGTATGTTGAGGAAACGTTAAGAGTACTAAAACATTTTTCCTGCAATACAATATAACATCTAACGTTGCATGTGTATTATGGTTATCCAAAAGTATTAACGCAGGGTTTTCCTTAGAAGCATTCCTGTGTTTTTTAATATGCTTTACAACAAGAAATTTCTCGTTAGTCATCCAACAAACTTGGAGAAGCAATGCCAATGCTGTCTTCTGAAGCTCCAGTCAGGAATGACTCTTTAAATCGCACTCGTGGGAAGATATAAACAGGTGGAATAGCATTCTCATTGACAATGATTATTCCAAAAAACGTCACTTGCTCACCTCTTTCTGCTTCAACTGCTTGTTCCACTTGCTTAAAGTTCTTAGTTGCGACCACTTTTGAAATTGTCCCACCTGCAGAACAGTGTTCACTTCGTTTTTATCTACGTTCACAATTCTATCACTAGTAAATTTGTACGTTTTGTAAACAGGCTCTAGGTTATCAAAAAAATGTTTATATTAACTTTATTAAAACTGATGTTTCTGGATAGACTTGTAGACTCCGGTTTTCGCAAAGATAAATTATTGTGACGCTTTATAAAACCTTTTATCCACTCAAATCTAGCAAAATGATTATTCGACCATTTTTTTAAGCTTCAGAGCATACTCATATGCAAATGCTTGAATTTAAAGGTAGGTTAATTGATACTGTAACTTCGAAGATTGAAGAATATAATTTAATAGACCGTCTTCTTCATTTAAAAATATCTGCTCTGTTACATATTTTCTGTATCATTTATATTTTTTCATCCAGTTTTTTTATTCTTGTATGTAACATGGACTTCTTTAATCCATATCTCTCTGCTACTTTTTTGATTGATCCTTTACGATTTTTTATATCGCAAATGGTATGAACTACTACGTTTTTAGGAATATTACTTCTATCAGTTTTTCTGATGTAGGTTCTCACCATTATTTCGAACTGTAAGGTAAAAAAAACGATATTTTAGGTTTGTTTTGAAAGAACCTATGGAGTACAAGTGGACATTGTCCACTTGTTTCCCTGTTTGGTGTCCATATCTGCCACGAATGCATAGTTTTTAACCGTACCGGATATCCTGTTTTTAGGTTCTCACTAGAACAAAACTTACCTGATATCAAACATGACAATATTCAAAATACGATGCACTTTACAAGGAAACACATACTGTCACTAAATAATATTACAATCTCTAAAAAACTGTTTATTTACTTTTACGAGGCAAAAATAACACAACCTCGTGACACAAACAAATGAAACTGACATTAAATAGGAGAGTGAGTTAAAACTACTCGAAAAGAAATCTAGACGAAAAAAATCAACTGCCCACTTGTGCCTCTGTGCACATGTGCCTTTTCTTCCCCTACTAAGTATTGAGAAAAAGGAATTTTCAGCAGTGTTACTTACAAATGACCGTTACATACTAAAAAAACAAGAACAATAAGAGCAATAAAA